CGTAAGACAGAGCTCCTATAGAGAGTGACAGGAGGAGGTGGGATTGCCTAGAGGCGGGATCGGTCGGGCTAAATATTTTCTTGGAGGAAGACATCATCTTCCTTTTCTTGCTGAGAAAGTCAAGACTCAATAACTAACCAAAGAAAATACACAGCGGCACCTACCTACAAGAGCAGCAAAATAAAGTAGATGAGCCTCTCAGTACTCAGATGGATTGGATTAGTGAAAATTATAAAATGGTTTCCATTTCCCCAAATCATAAGTGGACTGTATTTTGCAATTTGGAACTATAAATTCTGGTTTTTCTGGAAAAACACTTATGTGCATAGGGAAACGAATGACACATACGTTGTTTTTAAACCGGGCTAGAATTTATAGTTTCAGATGTAGTCCAAGAGCTAATGGCTTCCATAAGCGGAAATGTGCGCCATTTCTTCCCCTATGCACACAGTATAGGTGATTTAAGGGATGAGCCAAAAATAGTAGTTCCTAATTGCAAAATGTACTTCATTTGAGAGAAATAATATTTTATCGCAAGAGTTCATGACTAACCTAATTAAGCATTCATAAGAGAACACGCCTTGCGAATCTCGGCATCCACGAGACAACGGTGCAAACCTCAGCGCGAGAATAGCAAGTATTTATGGAAGTCGTCAAACTCTATCACGCTGCAGGTCTATTAGTCCGTGGCGCTCCGTAGTATTTAATGTACGAGTTTTCCGATTGACGTTCGCTCTTAGGACGGCTGCCGCTGCGGGCGGGACTTACAATCAATTATTTCTCAGTTAACGCGCGCCGAGCCGCAACTCAACCACCGACGGAAGGAGTTCATCGCTTTGTTTTACGACCCTTTTTGCGGTCGTACCGTATAGATCAAGTCGCAATTATTGGCAGACTGAAATCGAACCTGAATGAGATTTACCGAGTGGCAGCACCCTCGTCTCGATACTGGTGTGCTAACGGAAAAACGCCGCACAGTGGATCGAGTCAATGGGAGAGGTCGGACAAAATTTGGAAACTTTAAACGCTTATAACTCCGTTTATACAAAACTTTAAGGTCTAAAAGTGGTTCCATTGTTTTCTACGTAAAATATTCTTCAGTAAGAATCCGTTGAAATTTAACATGTGACGAGATCAGCATAAAGATTTGCAGTTTTAATAAAAAATGTCATGTCTGACCTCTCTAATTGACTAAATCCACTATGCGGCATAAGAACCCTTATGCAGTCATGTTGATCCCGATGAATATTAATTATTAAGAAAAGTTTTGAACATTTCTCATTTTGGTTTTTTAGCGAATGTGGATTAAGTTGCGAATGGAGATTTGCACACCAAATTTTTATTGCTTCACCTGAGAGTGCTTAATGAGCTGATTTCATAGGATATTCTGTATTTTTTTTTTATTTCGAGTATGGTGTAAAAATTAATCTAAAATTGAGAAAATTCACCGCCTACCGGCGTCACCTAGCGGCATTTTCCATTAAAACACCCACACGTATTTTAGCAGATTAGATCATTCTGTCAAATCTCCTCTGATACTCGTAATTGTTTAATTTATGAACCAAGGGTATCCTCGTGTTCAGTTCACTCAGTAGGGTCCCTTTAAACACAAAATTCATGAAATTTCAGACTCGTGCTAATTCTCCATTTAAACGCTGCAGAATACAGGGGGCGAAAGTAGACAATTTTGAACAAATTTCAGACTTTATTGAATGATTCTTGACCGTTTTCGAATCCTCATATAGCGTTCTCCCTAAACAGGACGAAAAATCTGGGTGTAAGGTCCTGCTGCCATGTCCTTTTAAAAAAAAATTTGATGATAGAAGGAACAGGATACGCATTTGAAATGCACGCAGTGATCTGAAATCGTCGATAATTTGCCAATTCCACATTTTGACGTGACCATAAAGCAGGTGCAATTCTGGATGTGAATAAACTCACTAACTCTGCCTTTTTCCATGTAGCTCCGTTAAATTAAAAAGCCAGACAAAAAGGTTAAATTAAATTAAAAAGGCGACTGTTAGTCGTAGAGAAACGCTGTGCTGTTCTTCTTGACTCTTGGGTGGATCATTCTGACAATGATTCGCAATGGACCACTAGACAAGGTACGAATTTAAGCGATCTGATACACGTTTCTTAACCAGAATTTCACGTAGAGCACGATTCACACAACGAAAATTACTGAAACCGACTCCTAACGAAGATATTAACGTTTTTATTTTACATTGGTTACGAGGAATTTGAACTGCCCGCTCACAAGAAACTCAAAGCTCTACGTGAGTCAAATCGCCCACTACAACGGTTTCAGCAAGCTTCTCAATCGAGCAATATTCATTTCCCACCATGTGTTGTTCAAACTATTAGCAATTTGCTATAACGGAGCCAAAGCGTCAAGATTGAGGTTGCCAGATTTTTATATCGTAGAGACTGTCATGATAACGTTTAGCGCGCGATGTGAATCAAGTAGAGCATTGAGTTTTCATGAGCGGGTGGTTTGAATTCACGCATCAAGAATCATTAAATATCTTCGTAAGGAGTTGATTTCGGTAATTTTCGCTGTGCACATCGTGTTTTACGTAAAATTTTGGTTAAGAAATATGTATCAGAATGCTGAAATTCGTACCTTATCTAGTGGTCCATTAGTCTATTTTCAGCTGCCTCATACAGGTGCAGGATATGAATTTTAAAGAAGTGATGAAATTTCAATTTTTCTTCCTTTTTTTTGGACGATGACAATACTTTCACTACCCTCGGGGAGCGAGGAAGTAAAAAATAATTTTACTCCTCTACTCCCTTAGGACTATACCGGGTGTTCATAAAGTAACTGAAAAGTGGGTATAATTTTTGAACAAAAAAAGATAGAAGGTCGCGGTTTGTTGCATTCTTCATCATCCAGAGGGGGAAATTTTTCGATGGGGGGTTTTTCTTGGTGGACCCCCTTGGGGGGCCCCAAGGGGGGGCAACTTTCAAAATTCAAATAGCAACCCCCATTTTTTTAGACATGGTTAAAAAGAACATAAAAAGACAAGAAAAATGACGCAAATAAAATTAAAATCGGTTCACTCGTTCAAAAGTTACAGCCGGTCAAAATTTTAAATTGACCACTTTTCAAAAAATCACCGTTGAGCTCCCAATTACCGAAAAAATAAAAACAGACCTGGAATGAAAAGTTTGAAAAGTGCCCTTTAAGGCAAGGAAAACCAACTGACGTTGTCACAAGTTTGGATCGCATTGTTTCAAAATAAAATTTCGGAAAATTCAACATGGCGGCAAATTTGAGGAAACGCGAATAATGAAAATTCCAGAAACTGTTATCTTTCAAATACCCTCTAGTTTAAGGAAATCAATGGTATCAACTTTTTTTCCTTTATTTGGCCAAGTAAGAGCAATAATTTGCTGACTTGAAAGTTGGCAAACGGGACCCCTTCAATCGTTGGAGTATGCGACATCACATGCACAGGATTAAGTGTGCTGTCAAAAAATGAAGCCGATGTGAAAAAGCGCTCCTCCTTTGGGATGCTTTAGAAATGTTCAAGGTCCTCA